AGCCAGTTCGTGATTGTGACTCTCTACAGATTTATACACTGACCAAAGCCCATCTTTACTCGCCGAAAATCTAACCATGGCTGGACATCCTGTTCTTGTACTTGATCTTCGATATTTTAACTTAGTACCACTTTCATTCTCCTTCTTGAAACTTGCTTTAGAACACACAAAATCCTTTGATTTGATTAACCTTGTATTTGGCCAGAAATGGTGATGTTCTTTCCGAACACTAAATCCATTTGAATGCGCGTACTGACAATATTTTTCATATGCTTCTTTCTCGCAATTGTAAACACCCTAATAAATATTCAAACATCCATATTAGCTTATATTTATATCTAAATATCAATCCAGACATTTAAAACGATTTGATACCGAGATACCGAGCGGTTTTTGCAGTTTAACTAGGTATATACAAATCGGGACCGACTACTATATGAATGATCGCCACTTCCACGTATTAATATTATTTAGATATGTATTAGTGCTAACCGGAATTATACCGACCTTTTTGTAATTAGTACCGACCGTTTACCGATATATACTACTCAATACCGACCTTATACCGAGGTAAGGAATTCTTGCTCGGTATTGCTCGGTATTGCTCGGTATTGTATTGCTCGGTATTGCTCGGTACAACTGTGTGTCAACATTTTACCTATCCATTATAATCAGTACCGAACGTATACCGATCTAAAATATAGAATACCGACTTAATTAAAAAAATCTTCATAGTGTAAATTATGTCACACAGCCATCTTTGAAATTCTCCGGGATAATCTTCACACTACTACAACCAACGTTCGAAACAGTAAAAAGTAGAAAAAAACAAACAGTATACATAAAATACTTACTAATATTACATCAGAAAAAGCTTCATCATAGCTTAAAGTTTGAGTTTCCTCGCAGAAAAATAAGTCTTCGAAACCGGAACCTTTAGTCGATCCTTCCATCTCCTAAAATACTGAACGATTTCTTTACGTCAGGTATATGAAAATTTTGGGAACCATAGAGACTGTAGAACATCTTAGGTTTAATACAGAGAAAGTTTTAATACCAGAGGTAAAAGCCGCGTATTTTTTCATTTTCCCGCCCTTCTCATATACATCACGACGGTCCAACCCGAATAATTTTATAAACGTAGTAAAGCATATGGGCTAGCGTCGGGTCAAAATGGGTAAAGTTGGCTGCCATGTGTCGCGTTATCACGGCATACCGAACGTAGAGATGCGTCAGGTGGGAGGAGGCAATAAAAATTCCTCCATGACAGATAAGATTAGAGTTAGAGGTGTCAATTTTTGACACGACCCGAACACAACTTAGAAAATCCGAGTTCAAGTCAACCCGAACCCGAAACGGGTCGGGTTCAGATTCAACAAATCAACCCGTTTTAAAAATCGGGTAGAGTTAGAGTTCGAGTTGACCCAGCAACCTGAAATTCAACCCAAAATTGACCCCAAAGTGATGAAAACTTATTTTTGACCCAAAAACCATAGAATGACCCGTTTTTGACACGAAAACCCGAGATTGACCCAATTTTTTACCCGAAAACTAGCAATTTTGAGTCAACCCTGGGTCATTCATGTCGGATCGGGTTGACCCGAACTCGAATCGGATCAGGTTCGGATCCTTAAACCTACCCCATTTTTAAAAATGGTTCGGGTTCGGGTTGACCCGAATAGTGCCAGGTCAATTCCGGGTTCGACCCGAACCCGTCCCGTTGACCCAAATTAACACCCCTAATTAAAGTCAACTCAAATGATTTGAACACAAACATCAATCTTCCAATCAACTGATTAGAATATATATATATACTAAATTTTAACTTCATTTAAAAAGACTTTCTAACAGCTTTTTTAAGCAACTTTTTAATATAAAATTATTTAATTAAAAAAATTTATACTAAAAATCAATCCTAAACGAAGCCTTAGATTCCATTTGGAACAACTTTCTTACTGCTACTTAAAATTTCTCCTAGTATAAAAATTTTAAAATTTATATTAAAAATTTACTTTAGAATCAATAAGAAAGCTAACACAACCAAAGTATTAGGCTTTGTTTGAAAGAACTATCTTATACTTAAAACAGATTTTCGGTAAAAAATTAAAATTAGTTAGATAAGCTCAAATATTTTCGAAGTGTTACAAATGAACAGAAATTATAATGAGCTGGGATGAACAAAAGCTTTAGGAGAAATAAATATCAACTGGTGAATATCATGACGAATTAATTACAAAATCAATTTAAGAGTTATGACTAAAAAAACTAATGCAATTTTGAATATTATGCAACGTTTATATGATCCATTGAATATTGTAGGATACTTAATAAAATACTGTATAAAGCAACTTTTATATGGTTTAACCTAAGGGTGTAAATGAGTTGAGCCAAGCTCGAACTCGCCGTACAAAACTCAAGCTCGAGCTCATGTCAAGCTCAAAGGGTGAACTCGAGCAAAATACTACATAAGAAAAAAAATTGAACAAATGTGTAATATGAGCCATCTTGCAAGCTCGTTTAATACATGAACTCGAATTTAAGCTCAAGCTTGAGCAAGCAGCTCGATAGCTCAGCTCACAAGCTCTTTGTCAAGCCAAGTTTGAGCAAGTTCAACTCGCTTACACCCCTAGTTAGACCCCAACTGGCCTAAATCCACATTTATCTCCACCTGAATTAAGATTTCAATCCTCAATACTGCACGCCAAACACATTTGTTCATCGTGTCATTCAAAAAATATCACAATCTCTTCATTGGTAAGCACTACTCAATATAGCAAAAATCACAATAATAAAGACTTATATCACTGTCTGAGGTAGATTACATGCATCATTTTTTTTATTATATTCTATTAAGAGTCAAATTCTCATTTAAATCTAATGACAAAAGTACTTTCTAACCAAATCTTTTTAGACATTTCTTAGTATAAATTAAATCTAATACATCTACTCTCCTAACCGGGTCCTTGAAAAGCTTACGTTTCATGTGACCAAATCTAAGACAACTCTCTCCGATCTTATCTATCACTAAAGCAACAACAACCTTTTCACGTATACACTCATTTTGCATTGTCTCTAGTAGTAAAATCACTCATTCACCTAAGCATATCCTCATTTCTGCAACACCTAATTTTATGATTCTCTTTTAATGGCCACTACTCTGAGCCATAAAGCATTGCAGACCACCATCTTAACACAAAAGAAAAACTATTGATTTTGAAATCAAGTATCTAAGATGTCTATCAAAAACAAAATGCAATAAAAAAGAGACTTTGGATCTTTGCATAGCACCCAATTAAAACTATACATGATTTTCCTTCAAGCTATTTTGTTTCACCACTAATTCCATCAAAGACCTTTGACAAGAGTTCAGAGATATATTAAACTATAATACATTGAAACCACTATTTAAAACTTCAACTTTGTTTAGGACAACTTTCTTACTGCTTTCAAGCAATTTTGTAATACAAAAATTTTAATATTTGTACTAAAAAACTGCTTTAAGAAACAGTAAGAAAGCTGTCCAAACAAAGCCTTCATCTAAATTTTAAATATCAAGGTAAGCAACAACCTTTCTATTATGACTATCACACATGTGATTCATGTTCCTAAGGAATAAGCAATGTCATCTTTCAAGACCATCGTTATGACTAACATGACATTTTAAGTTTCTTCCTATCAAAGATTCACAGTGTATGATTCATGAAATCCCGCATGAAACCAGTTTTAAAAAGGATAACATCAAACATTAACAAATTTTGACCAAGCAAAGAATGAGAAGCATTGCATCACACAAAATGACAGTTCAATTTTTATAAGCACATATATCATCAACTAATGAACATTAGCATCCATCAGTTTTTCAAAAAATTAACTGAATTCAATTATAAAGGATGATAAAAGAACTCACTCAACAAGAACTGTGATTATTTCTTCCAACGCGCTTCCAAGAAAGCATCCTTCTGCGATCCCTACCTCTCACAACCCTCCCAAGTAGATTATCATTAAATGGTATATAAAGTCCAGCATCAACCACAGAATTACTTTTTCTTTTTTCATGTGCTGTATTAAAATGCAAATCAAAGAGCATAGCCAAGCAACGAATTTGGTGAGCTAAAACGTAATTTTCACTGTCAACAGACAAAATATTGAGAATATGGAGATTCACCTGCAAATAAGGGCGTAAGAAAACTCAATAAAAGATCTTAGAAACGGTTTTCAAGTCATTAGATTTAATTTGAGATAATGAAATATAAGATTTGATCGATTAATCATATATTGTATTTATCTCAAAGTAAATATAATGACTTGAAAACCCGACCTGAGATAACCGTAATTATTGATTATGACAAACCTCTGACTCCATGGCGCGAAGTTCATTAAAGCATTCAAAACTATCTTGAGAACCATCTGGTGATAATCTTAACTTGAAAAATGGGGCCCTGAGAGGGTATTCTATACTGATCTTGACCTGAAATTTTCAAATTGAATGTTCAGCAATCCAAAAGCAGAAAAAGAGAAAGATGAGTGCAGCAAATACCGTAGCTTCCAACTTTAGCATCTGCTCGTTTCCATCCTTTCTACACAGAACTAAATGGAATTCTCTTGCAGCATGGTCTACCCATGGTTTCTCTGTGGCACCAACAATATCGGTTTCTGACTCAATGCACACTTTCTCCTCCACATCACTCTCCATATCCAGTATAAGATCCAAATCATCTTCATGCCGACCGAAACTTGACGACTTGACCATCTTGGGTGGTGTGATGTTTTTTGAAATCAGAGTCAGGCTTCTAGAACTCTCAAGGTCAGAAGAAACATTAGAAATCTTTGTACTTGAATCATCTGGAAATACAGTAGCTGGTAGTGCCATTGGAAGTTCCCCATCTTCCCTTGCACTCTCTATTTCTGATGGAGGAACTGATCTTCTGTCAAGCTCATGGCCTACTGAACCTACAAGTTTTTCAGCAGTAACAGCAGATACTGAGGAATCAACAACAGGTCTTACTGGCAACCATTGCTGCAAATTACAAAGAGGGGTGTGCAAGGCCCAGGGAACATTTTCATTATCTAACAAGGGCCATTTGAGCTTCACCAAGAAATTGAGCTGCTCCCTGTAGCCAAAAAAGACCTCAAACCTTCAAATATGACGAGTCATAAAATAAGCACACCAAAGATAACATTACATGGGAAAGCCACGGCAGCCAAACTAACATAAACCTTTAAAATCACAATCTAAAATGAAATAAAATTCCTTAAAAATCTAATAGTACTTCTTGCATTGAAGCTCTTGATGTCTCCTTGTAAACTGCATGAAGAATCACTCTTAAAGTTGAGAACAACCAAGTGGATCAAAGAAATTATCTGCCAGGGTATAGTAAGATACTCGTCCATAAAACCAAAAAAAAGCAATTCATTCCCTAATGTTATGTCTTGAGAGTTGAGAATACAAACTAACAGAGCAGTGACTCACACAAGAGCCATAAGAGCCTTTTTCCTAGAACGGATCCTTTGCAAAACAGTCTGCACTCGGTTCTCACGACGATAAAGAGAGAGTCCAGAAGATACATTGGCACTTCTCGCTTCAGTCTTCAGATTTTCGCTATGTTGTTGGAGAGGAGGCACCTCAGGCAAGAAATCCATGCCAGCTAAATGCTGTGCCCACATGTATGGTCGAGTACTTTTATCACCAAATACTACAAAATCTCCAGCATATAGCTTAGCTGTCTGCATAAAAAAGCAAAATTGTTGTCACAAGAGAAGACCAGAAACATGTACGATAGGTAAAATGGCCATCGTATTTTTTTTCATAAAAACCTAGAGACAAGGTCTTGCAGTACAAATTCATGTTTGAAATGCCCAAACGGTACTTTATGATGCATACCCACTTCTTTAGAGCAACATCATCACTCCGCTATGCACCACATTTAAAGAACAACGCTTTTACCCATGATTTATGTACTTAGCCAAAACCAACTGTTTCACCCGTTTTGGATCAATTGCAGTCAGGTCAATCAGAAGCAGCACATCATTTTTATTTTTAAGCATATATCTTTTTTCATCAAAATTAGGTCCTAATCTGGTAAAAACTGACCAACAAGTTTCATACATTGACTCTCGAAAATGAAATACCGAGCTCAACCCATCAAGTCACAATTTACTTCATACATGTATGTGGAAAACAACTTATTTAAAGTAACATTAAGGCAGGTGACTATGTAGGAAATACTTGGAATTCCCAAGTAAAACATAACTATCTTGATGAAATCAGCTAGAAAGATTCACAAATTCAAAGGAAAAACAAGAAAAACAGTATGTGATAATCTAAGAATCTCAATAATGTGAAACAATCCATGCGAAAATGATTTGCTTAATGACATTTGCACGCTTAGATTTAGAGGTCATAATAAGTAAGATCTTATGAGGAATTGAACGATAAGATAAATATTAAGTGGTACTTAGCTTAGGTTAATTCACATGCATATAAGTTGAGTTCAAAAGATAGCCATCGTAATCCAACATTGCATACATGGATTGTTCCAATAATAAATTCCAATACTAACAATAAGATTAGGATATGAAAGATCCCTCACACAACTCTTCTAATTACTAGGCTTTTAGCGGTGAAGAGCTTGATATGAGCTTTGTGACTCCAAATATAACCACACTTGAAGGGTGAATTAGGAAGATATAAACGTAGGAAGAAAAGTTTACCAAGGGAAGACAAATGAGGACCTCCGACGTGATCGTTTGAGTGTTTGGGGAGGGATGGACGGCGCCACGAATTTTCTGGCCGTTTGGGACAGCACTTTGACAACCCTTGGGTAGTAGACGGCACTCAGGACTTCGCCAATCAGCTGGACCAAAAAACAGGGTTGCAAAACTCTCTGGGACGATGCGTGGAATGCTGGTCAGCAGACAAGAGCAAAACCTGGCAGCACTATGGCTGGTTGGAGCTTCCCGAACAGCAGTTTCTACTTGGAAAATTGCTGGACAGCAATTTACTGCAGGGTTTTGGGGTTAGGTTTTGAATTTTGAATCCCAACTCATGTGATCAATGCCAAAAAATGGAATTAATCCCAAGCAAGGCCGGTGGCTTAGAGAGGGGAGAGGAGGGAATTAATTCACAATCCTGAAATAAATTTCAGAATTTGAAATTTTAGGAGAGAAAAATTATTTGAAATTAATTTCAACTTCAAATAGGATGGGGCATTAAAGGAGCAATCAATGGGGGGAAATCCCTCATGGGGGCCGGCGGCATGGTGAGAGGGGAGAAGGAGATTAGGGAGGGATTAAGCGCTTTCCAATTGAGCCGATACCACCTATGATGAAAAATTAATAATTCCATATGTCATGAAATTTGGATTGGATCAATTCAAAAACTTTCCTTTTTGGGAATTTTGCAAATATGGAAAGTTTGAATTTCAAATTTGAAATTCAAACTTTCAAGGAAAATAAAAAGACAAAATTACCCCTAGGGCAAACATAAAACAAAGCCCTCAAGTGAGGGTAGAAATGGAAAAGTACAAATAACAAATACATCAAAATAAATAGACACGACCGTAGCCGTTGATCTTCGATGTCCTCATCACTCAAATTTCAGTCAAATACAAGATGTCCTAACCCTAGGAAAACAAACTATTTAATGCATATCATCCAAAAGGAAATCCCTAAATAGTCCCTACATTCAAATTTCCCTCCTAACTCCCTAAAAATCCTTCCTAAATACTTCTATTGAAGTGGGTGGATCATTCGGCGCGTGCAGGAGTAGCGGAAGAGTCTGCTTGTTTCGCCCGTAAGCCAGTCCTGTATGGACCGATTGGACCGGTCTAGTGGACCAATCCAACAAACTAATTATTAATTAATAAACAACAATTAATCCACCTAAAAATTATCAAAAAAACAAAAAAATTTATCATAATTCAACATAATAATAGCATAAAACTACTAAAACTATTTAATAATATAAATAATTATTATTTGAATTCTGTAGACTTACTCATAACTAGAACATTAATTAAGTTTAATTTACAAAAATAATAAAAAATAGCTTTAAATTTTATTGATGGTAAAATATATGACCTTAAATAACAAAAATATGATAATTATCCTGAAGATTAATCGAGGCATGCAGTGGCATTGGCATATATATTTTACATTCTTAGACTAACCAGGGAGTTCACATTTTTTTAATTAACAATTATAAACAAATATTTTTACTGTAGTATTATTTTTCCCCTGAAATTTTACCAAATGTGAAGATCAAAACTAGCCACCAAAATGTCTAAATCTGTTTAAAACACAAAAAAACTGAAACTTCTGAGATTGCTGAAAACTAAATCAAAGTTTTAAAACCTTGCTTTTAACAACAATAAGAAACTTCCATCATGCCAGCTTGATAGACAATTATTTTGTTGAGTCCAACTCCAAACAACATAAGAAGAGAGAACTAGAAAGTGTGTTTTTAACCAAGCAACAACCATCGCCTCTTATCTAGAAACATGCAACGTCATCTTTATCTCAGCTAATTAGGGCTATCTTGATGAATTTTCCCTCTCCATTCATTCATGTTAACTACTAGGAATGAAATACATTTTGGGTATCTTATTGCATAACTTGTAGCTATATCACCTTTGATTTGTCCTTTTTTAACATTGTCTTCCATTATCTAATGTGTTTTCTTCCCTAAGATGTATTTACCTAAACCATCTTTATCTATGTTCGTAGACTATAATCACCTACAACAGGTAAAATTCAGTATTCAAATTCATAGGTAAGTTATGGATTGAAGGAACTACGTTATTGCATCAATAAAGTTTGCTATTTTCTCAGTAATTAGTCAAAAAAATAGAGCTAACCTGATGTGGAAGTTCTGTGCCAGTGTCATTGGGAAAAAGGTTACACAAAATATTTTCATCAGAAGCTTGCTCAGGATCTTCAACCCCAACACATACAACATTCAATTTTATTAAATACTCAAACTTCAGGGACATAAGCTTTGGAGATTTAGGCTGGAGATCATCTTCAAAAATGTGGACAAAAACTTTGAGTGGATGAGTTTGCTGTATTCCTCCTTGGTCTCCATTTTCTTTAGGCAGGTTCTTCTTCAGTCTCTTTCTTCTTCTCTGAACATCTTCCTCTTCGTCGGGTGCATCATCATCCAACCGGATGCTTTCTATATTAGTTGATGTACCTGAATCACACTAATATGTTGTCATGGAATTCTGAAAGATTCATCATATAGATTAGTTGGTCATGTGTAAAAAAATAAATTATGATGAAAAACTAATAAATGAGCTACTCCCCTTTTGAAGTTATACCATTATCTAAGTGAGACTCAGTACTAGCACAAGATGAGAAAGGAAGAAAGATAAATGGAACGAAAATCATATTCATGCCACCCTAACATCCCTCAAATTACCATTTTCCCTGCTTGCTTGCCGTTGAGAAAAAGTTTGAGCATCTTTTACACTTCCAGTGATCTCCATCTCAATCTTCTCACCAAAAGCTTCTTTCTGAGCCAATAATTGTGAGTAAACAATATAAAGAGGAGGTGGCAGCAGCTCAGCTGCACAATGCTGCTTTAGCTTCTTGGAATGCAGAATCCCTAGCTGCTGCTGTACAGGTAACGTTGCCTTCTTCAAAGATTTCAGATGTGATGGTAGGCTTGAAAGGAATTTTTTCCGGCTTGCTATGGTCTCTACAAGGCTTTTTTTGTGTTGCTCCAACTTCTCACGAAGCTTGCACAACTCTTTCCTCTTCAAAAAAGACAGATGTTGCTTAGCATAGAGAAGAGACTAAAGAAATCATATTTAAAAAGACGTTAAAACACAACCAAGAATCTATAACTAAAGCAGGTGCCCAAGGAACCAATATTTGGAGAGAAGGTTATAATTATAGTTTTAAAAAAGTTATATGTTGAAAGAATAAATAATTTAGGATGATGCCATGCTAAAGAAATTCTGCATCTGCTATATCTAGAAACTGATAGTGCCACATTTCTCTTGGAATCTGCTTCGGAAGGCAATCAGCAAATAAATAAAGCTAACATATGAAAATCATCCAAACTTCTAAGAAAATAAAATATTATATTTCAATTAATCAACAGAGAAATAGGTACATTCAATATGAAGATTCATAACATGAAACAGGAAAGCAAACAGATAAATTGAATAAGCAAAGCTGAATGCATGATTTATTTAATTCAAGGATTCACAACTCCTTGTGCTCTTTAATCTGCACAACTAAACAACTTCTTTCAAGTGTGTAATAATAGTTGATATAAATAATAGAAAATGCAATTGTTTCCCACCGCACAACACTAAAATCAATATAGTCAATCAAGTTACAGTTTTATAATTTTTTAAAGAAAAAATTATATTCTTTAAATATATGATACTCATGAGGAACTTATCATTTAATCAAAAAGTATTAACTTTTAGAAGTTATATCCTCATTTTATCCCCATTCATCTATACAATCTATCCAATATATTTTAGCACATTAAACAAAAAACAACTTGATCATTGATAACACTGATAAATAAATTACTAATTTTACACCCGCTTAAATTGCATGTCACATATTTGACCTTTATTTTAATGATCTTAAGCCCTTTTATCTTCAAAATAAAAAATCCTCCATTATTCTAGCTTCTTATTTATTTTGATAAAAGTCTCCTTAGTAAACTATCTCCATTAGTACAGAAAAATATCAACATAGAGTTGATCCTTAATATTATCTTACTTTAATTTAAAAAAAAAAAATCATTTCAAAATACAATAATTCTGGCCAACACTTCATCACACATATGTTAAATAAGTTCAACATAACTTTAGCACGCACCTTTTTTTCTTGATGCACATGGAATAAATTCTTCTGGTATGAGATCATACGCCTTTTAAAGAGCAATAATAACACATTAAACCCTTTCTTGTTTATATATTCTTCCATTAATTTTCTCAGCACAAAAATGAACTCTATAATGGATTTTCATGCAATAAAATCATTCTACGAAATTGAAGTGTCTTTGTAAGCATGGGTCATTTAACAGAGAAGCCGAAGAATGGGTTGCTGGTTCTTGGGAAGATTATCATAGGATACAGACATCTCTCTACGAACTCAAAGATGGAGAGGATAAAGCAGCGGTAGAACTCAGGAATGATGTCAAAGAAGGTCGACAGCAATGACCAACACTTCAAGGCAAAAGTATTTAGTTCAAGTTGCCGAAGAGGAGAGTTCAAAACTTTGCAACAAAGGAGAAGAATCCAAAAAGAAAGCAGCTTAAAATAATAATTTATTCACAAACTTCAGCCTTTTTTTTTTTGGAAAAACTGCACTGTTGTCCAGCTCTTTTAAATGTTGCACTTTTATAGAATATATAAGAATAGAATAACAATTGTAATATTTATTTCACCCAAAAAATAATTTTTAATATTTAATTTATTTACGTCAGCTGACGAACCCGGTTTAATCAAAAGTAAACTCAAGCTCGTTTAGTTTTCGAGCTTGACTTTGAGCTTGAACTCGAGCTCGTGATTTGATAAGCTTAACACACGAGCTCGTTAGCAAGTCAAGTACAAGCCGGCTTGGCTCATTTTCACCCTTAGTTGGTAGTGATTGCTTCATCATCTGATTGGCTCATTTTCCTAGTGTAAGAACCCAACACAAATTATTCACATGTAAGCATTTTCATCAAATTCTTTTTTTTTTTTTGTTGATGAAGTTGCTTTAATGTTTAAAAATCAGTACCTAACAGAATCTTAAAATCAGTTTAATTAGTAATGTATGATTGGTGCATCTTCTCATCAAATCAAGTAATTTTGGCCTATCATAAATGATATTATGCACATCAATAGCTCTCTCAAAATGTTTCCTTAGTTCTTGTTCAAGTTATCTTTCATTATCAACTTCAAATAACATGTAGCGCATAGAGTCCACTACAATATATCCCTACAATAAGACAACACAATGTTCATTAAGAAATATATAGAAGTGCAACATAATTGAAATGATGCATCATTGTGACTAAGTAGTCAAAACATTCTCTAAGAAATTATCAATTACTACCTGAAGGACTTGATATGGTCCAAACCTTTGATATACTTAATATTTAAAACGTATTTATTACAATATTTGCATAAGAGATAGCATCAATTGACTCTATAGATGTGTTTGCTCTTAGCCAATTAACCAAAAAATTCACCAAACTGTTCCCAGCAAAATACCCAAGCATCAACTATTAAAACAACCATATTTAAGAGAATCTTCTCTATCAAATAGCAACAACTTTTGTGAGATGTACCCTTGTTCCAAATAATAAATATACACCTCACGGTAGATTGGATGTTTCAATCCAAGACCAAAAACCTCCCCTATAGCAAAAAGTTATCATGTTTCACCGCATTCAATAGCACGTCTATATCATACAAAATCAACAAAACATCTGAATTTCTCTTTCCCTCATCTCCTTCCTCCTAGCATCCACTTCTTTTTAATTTTTTCCTTTTTTTTCCTCCAATTCCTCAAAATTCAAAATAGATATTGTATTTGTTTGTCCTTTCCCTTTAGAATAGTAAACATAAAAGCACGTTTGATGCTTCGAATTGAAGAATTTGATCTATGACAACTCCTTAGTGAGCATATATCTAAAAGGCCATCATCCATCCCATCAAAATATCTTCTTCATCCATATTGTCATGTGCATTTCACTATATTGTTTTTTAGATCCTTCTTACCCATATTCTCTCAAATTTTAAGCGTTGAGAGAAACTATTATATTAGCAATTTCTAAAACTCCCAAGTCCCAACCAAATATTATCTATAGGAAATAACTCTTCCAATTGTAAATTTGCCACACAAAAAATCACACAGTTGTTATCATTTTCCTATGCCAAAACAATATTTGTATGTTCGATCTTTCTTAAAAGAATGGTCTAAATCCAAGTTTTTTTCTATTTATTTTAGGTAATGAATGTAATAAAGTGAATTACAATAAGATAATAGTTAGGCATATTAAACAACATAAATAACAATAATTGAACCAAGGCGACAATATAAAAAAGTAATATTGCTAGCAATCAGCCAAATTAGAACAATCAAAACTAATCATTAAACAAACAACAAATCTGATGTAGAACATTATAGCTAATAGTTCTCCTTAGGAATATCTTATCTAGTTTGTTACAAGTTTCTCTAGAGTATTCTATAGATGGGTTATATATGTATGCATTGTAGTAGAAAAAGGGGAATGAATATTATCTCTTTTATGAAGCTTTGAAGCTTGTGCTCCTCTCGTTCCCTGGATTGGGATTAAATCCTTCTTGCAGGTCGATTCTTCTGACGATCCACTACATCAATTGGTATCAGAGCCTGGAGCTTGCGAAAATCGATGGACTGCAGAAGAAGGTCGGTTGTCGACGATGATTGAAGCCGAAGAATAACAAGGGTGGTCAAAGACGATCGACACCAAAGGTGGGTTGTAGACGATGATCGAAGCCGGATTGCCTTTTATCAAGCTCAAGCGAATGAATCACTTGATCGGGTAGACAGAAACTTTGATCGGATAGACAGAAACCTTCGATCCATAAGGAGAATGCGAATGTCGTCGGCAACCATACTGTCGTCTTCGTCTTCGCTCCTCTCGTCCGCTTCACGAGATCGCAAACATATTCGCAATCAACCAGCAGTCGCCCACGATTACCCTCTGCTTGAACTTCCGCTCCAGTTGCGCGACCCCCCTCTGCTTCAATGTCAGATCCGTGTTCCCGAACCTCCATCTTCTTCTATTCCCACCACTGCCAATGATTCAAACCACCGCTCATATTGCGACCCGAGAGCCTGCACTCGTCTCAGTTCACCCAAATGTTCAACCCCCGCTTCCGCCTCTCGAGTGTATTTCGGCCTCGAATCGATTCTGCTCCCGCGGGTATCACCTGAGCCCATCGGCCCGCTTCCATTGAATCGACCTCCTCCACCTCCGCAGATGACCGCACTTAAATCAAGCTCGGACATTCCAGCAAGACCCCCACCTTACATTTCCAACCCGCAAACACAGAGCTCCCGATCAAATTCGCCCGCGAACATAGAGCTCTCGATCTGATTCGCCTACGACCACAGAGCTCCCGACCATGCTGCGAGAGACACCTCCATCACGCCCAACCCCGCTTGCGCCTTCAGTTCTGCCCGCTACGTTTCCCCTCCAGCAAGATTTTACAGCGGATATTAACATTGTCAAGGAAGGTCGATTCGACGGGCCCCTTTCGCCTCCAGATCCGCTCCAACGTGATTCTTCCGCTGAGGGAGAAGAGAAGGTTGGTATAGACACTCACGCTTTGTCCAACAGACCTAGTGCCAAACGAGAATGCCTCGCTGGGTATGAATCAGCCCAGCGGCCTCCAAGACCACGTGAAGATAGAGATACAAACCCTCACCACCAGTCTACGAAGATGTGTGAAATTCTTCATGCTCAGGGCGGCCAGTACGGCAACCAGAACGGAGCAAAGTTCTGGGAGGTGTTTTGCAATGATCACCGTATCAACGCCCTTATTAGTAGCTTATGCAAACATGGGAGAATTGAAATGCTGGATGAAGCTTATGAAGTGATGCAAAAAATGGTGGAGTGGTTCAAGAAGATGCCAGAATTCATATATAATCCCGAGGGCGTCACTTACTCAATCGAGGCTTATGGCCGCTTGGGCAATGTGGAGATGACTCTTGCTGATCGAGCGCGCAAAGGAAAATGGCGTCTTGATCCTTCTACATTTGCTATTATGTTTGGAGTTTATAGAGCTGTTGGAAATTTCAATGGTGCACTCACTATGTTTGAGGAAATGAAAGCCCTTGGTGTGAAGCCAAACTCGATCATTTACAACAAGTGGTTGGAGGCCATGGGTGGAGGTGGAAAGGTTATTTTGGTGCAAATTGCAAACACAGCCAAAGGCCAAGGACGAGATGTTCAGGAGGTGCAAGAGACATATTTAGCAGCTAAGAGAATTAATGACGTTTGGAAGGCCATGCTATGAACCTATCATTCTCATCGATAGCTCGTTCCAGCTCTACGAGAGAATTGCTTATTATGTTGAAGCTGAGTGTTGTCATGTTACTGCAATAAGAGATGGCATGAATCTCATCCCTTGTGAGTACGTTATTTGTAGACAAGGAAATGAGAGATTGGATAAACTGTTGCAGCTTGATGCATCATAGCCCAAAAGGAGTATGCTAGTTGTCTCAGAGTTCATTGAGTGTTCACCATCACTTAGTGGAGCTATTCGTATCAACCCTTGGATTGTAGATTCAGTGGCCGAAGCATTGGATACATCATTGGCAATGAGTTATAAAGAGCAACAGCTTTTCCATGAGAAACATTATCGTTATGTAAGTACTCATGATGTTGGTTATTGGGCTAATAATTTCTTGCAGGACTTGGGAAGGACGTGCCGGGACCATGGTTGGAGGAGGTGCTTGGACATTGGTTTTTGTTTGGGCTTCAGGGTCATTGCACTTGACCCCAATTTTAGAAGACTTTCTGTTGAGCACATTGTTTCAGCATACCTGAGAACCAAAAATCGAGCTATCCTTTTAGAATATAATGGCACCATGATGCCTCAAACATCTATCAGCAAGAAGCAAGCCTACTCCTGAAGTTATAAGCATCCTCAATAGCTTGGGTAGAGATCCGAACAACTTGGTATTTCTTATTAGTGGTAAAGAATGGTTGAAGCAAACTTGCACTTGGGGCTGAACATGGCTTCTTTATGAGGCAAAATCAAGAGTCGGAATGGGAGACATGTGTACCCGTGCCAGACTTTGACTGGAAGCAGATTGCTGAACCTGTCATGCAGTTATACACTAAAACAACTAATGGATCGAGCATAGAAGTTTAAGAAAGTGCCCTTGTTTGGCATTATCAATATGCTTATCCTGATTTTGGATCCTGCCAGGCCAAACAACATCTGGACCACCTGGAAAGTATTATTGTGTTTAAATTTTATGGAGCTTCTGGTCTTATGGGTATGCATCAGAGATGCAAAGTATTCGACCCAGGGATCTGGTTGGGATGTCCACCTCTACCTCCCTCCCAATAAAGAGCCTCGAACGGAGTCGAGCTCTTTTGACGCAAGGGGAGAATGATGTGGAACATTATAGCTAATAGTTCTCCTTAGGAATATCTTATCTAGTTTGTTACAAGTTTCTCTAAAATATTCTATAGATGGGTTATATATGTATGCATTGTAGTAGAAAAAGGGGAATGAATATTATCTCTTTTATAAAGCTTTGAAGCTTGTGTTCCTCTTGTTCCCTGGATTGGGATTAAATCCTTCTTACAGGTCGATTCTTTCGACGATCCACTACATCAAATTCTTAGTAGGGTAGAAGAAGAAAATGCATTTAAAAATAAATAAATAAAGAAAATAAATAATTGTTGCTTATAAAGGGGAGTGTACAAGCATCAATGCAATGTTGTGTAAAGTTACTTCAAAGATGAGGAAGAGGAAAGAGAATGCTTAAAGTTTCCTTTTGGATCTTAATTGATGTGCATCTTTTGCATGTCTGCAATACTTTTGATTCCGTCTAGCCTCAAAATCTCTCATTCCCATGGCTCGTTGATAACATAAATTCATAGCACAACTTGGGAAATAACAATAACGAATGCTAGTTTTGGATCAACAGCTCATGTCTCCGTAGTAGCAATAGCCGCTCATTTCTCCCGGCTTTTGCATTTCTATGGAATACTGAAGTTTGCAAGGAGTCAAGAACCATGAAAAGCATGAATAGTTAGATGAGTTGAAACCCTAACATATCTAAATATGTTTTAAGCAAAAAAAAATGTTTTAAAAAAATTAATGAGTTAATCAAAAAACAAACAAATAAAGAAATGAAGAAGAATATGGCATGTGTTCATGTGCTATAGCACATTTATAGCACACTTAACGTGTAATATTTTGCTAAGTTGCACCTTGTTATATTAATAGTGAAGAAAGCATGCTATACTATGCCGTGGGCAATAGCACATATTATTTTGTGCTATTAACATGTATAGGAGAATCAAAGAAAAAGAGAGAAGGGGGCAAAGGAAAAGATGAATGCAAGTCTCATAGTAGTGTAGTCAATAGGGTAGAGAAGAAGAAAGCAAAGATATTTTGATTCAAATTTAGATCTGATGTTGAATTACAATAAATTGAGCCAAATTTTAAGAAAAAAGTGCTGCAAAGAGAAGATAATCCCACTCAAATTTAAGCCTAAAATTATCCAAGAAATAACTCATACTGAAAAAAAAATATATAAAGCCCTAATTTAAAATAAAATCAGTGAAATAAATCTCAAACAATATAAACTTTCTTTCTTGTGTGACATCAATTTGCCACAACAATAAAGTCAAATAAGTTACTCACACCAAGTATAAGAAAAGCATTGGGATTTCACATCCAAAAAAGAAAATGAACAGGCAAATTGCATGACTTTCTGAATGCCTTCACAGTATAAATTCTTTCATCTCTAGTCTCCTTTCGTACCAGGTGATTATCTTTTAAATAGCTATGACATAATTATATCTCCTTAAATCAAGTATGGCTATATGCTCAATACTAATAGATTAAATATCTTAAATGCATTTTTTTCAGTTAACATAACTAACTCATAAATAATTTTAAAAAAGATATCTGAATCTAATGTAGAAATACTCAGATGACTTCATGATTTTCGTGCAAGGAATGATAATAAGGAGTTATTTTCTTGATTGAGTATAAAGTTCTAAACTACTAAGAAGGATTTTTGCTGATCAATAATATACAAACTACTGATAATGAAATAACTATAGAGATTTAAAAAAGCAATGATCAAAATACCTGAAAAAGCTCATAGTTAAATCTTTTCAGCATCAAATCATGAGCTGCATCACTAGCCAGAACTTTTTCTTTAATATCTTCTGGTGCATTTTTTAAGAACTCTTCTTCAGGGACAAGTTCTATATCAGAATACTTCGACCTAAAATCTCTGCATGTATTTATGGCTTTCAGGTAATGATTCTTCTCATACATCAAGTTATGAAGCTGCAACGTTGTAAAGTCCACCGGTGCCTTTGCACTCTCTGTTTCAGCTTTTATGCGGTCTTCTTCCACCAATATGGTTCGGTTCAACTTCAAACAAATAATCAGTCAAACAGAACACAATTAGTCCAAACCAAGCTAACTCTTTCGAAGAAAAAGATATGACGGCGGATGATATTGGAATAAAAATGGGTTTGCCCCCTTAAGAAAGACTTCTGATGAGTTCTAAAGCAAAGCAGTATTGAGGTCTACAGACGCTGGAACAAGTAGTAGAAACCAAAAAGGCGTCTTTGTTTGGCGAGTTTTCTTGTTAGCAGAGTCTGACTGCGCCCGCTCGAGCAGTGCCGGAAAGATATTTCTCCCAGCCGGCGCAAGGAAAACATAGCTGAACAATGTCTTAAAGAAGTTGAAAAAACAAAAATTAAACAGTAAAAACAAACCCTAACCTGACGGAGGGTGATGAACAAGATGGACATTTGGGTGCTGAGCTCCCGGAGCTCAGATTTGGGCTTGCCTTCCTTCTTGACGAAGAGAATCTTCGCCGCGATCTCCTCCAATGCTCTACGAGTCTCATCTAGCGCCTCTTGTGCCGTCTTCACAAACGCCGGCTCCGCCTCCACTTCCATTGCTTCCGTCGTGTCGCTTAGACCTAATCGAATGGAAACCAGACACGGCGAAGTTTAACTGTTCTATGGTGTAGTCCCTAAACCAGTAAACCCTAAATATGCGACTAAAATATTTCCTAGGAGAGAAATTTGGCTCTATATTCCGGATTAGAAATTATTCGTTGTGATCACCGGAAGATCCGGAGGCGAATTAGAATATGCCATGTTATCCGGTATATAGCAGAGCCCTGCATTGGGTACCCATACCCACACCCACCCACGTACCCACCCATACCCAATGGGCATGGGTGGGTATGGGTACGCCCATAGCCTCGTGGGTGGGTATGGGTGGGTACTCAACATCAGAGGAGAACCAATTTATATTACTAATCATCATATACATGCAGTATATTATAATAATCCTTACTACACAGACTTAAAGAAGTTGAAAAAACAAGAATTAAACAGTAAAAACAAACCCTAACCTGACGGAGGGTGATGAACAAGAGGGACATTTGGGTGCTGAGCTCCCGGAGCTCAGATTTGGGCTTGCCTTCCTTCTTGATGAAGAGAATCTTCGCCGCGATCTCCTCCAATGCTCTACGAGTGTCATCTAGCGCCTCGTGTGCCGTCTTCACAATCGCCGGCACCGCCTCCACTTCCATTGCTTTCGTGGTGTCGCTTAGACCTAATCGAATGGAAACCAGACACCGCGAAGTTTAACTGTTCTATCGTGTAGTCCTTAAAACCTAAATATGCGACTAAAATATTTCATATATTTATAGGAGAGAAATTTGACTCTATATTCTTTTGAAGGAATAGAAATTATTCGTTGTGATCACCGGAAGATCCGGAGGCGAATTAGAATATGTCACGTTATCCCGTATATAGTGGTAAACAACAAAAAAAGTGATGTATCACATTCTGATTCATCTCCGAACATCGTTGGTTGACCGCACAGAATAATTTCTCTTGAAGGAGATGCATGCATGCCTTTTTTGTTCATTAATATTTATTTAGGATACAATTTTCTTTTTATTATATTCGCATTCCATATATCAAAGTATGTCTTAAATGAAATTATTTAGAATTAGTTCAAATTTGAACATTTATTTAAAGCTGATTCAAATCGCACCTTCGCATATATACATTCCATAGTGTCATCCTTAATAAGCTATGTTACAAACCGCCAATATTTGAATTCCTTCACCAATGAGCTTCATATGCAAATTTCATTTTTTGCATATGTCGTCAGTCCAATCAATGTTGATAACTTCTCTTATTATGCCTTCCCAAATCCCAATCAAGCTCATTTTAAGAACTCCTCTTGTTTATATGCATATTTATCTCATTAATGTAATCCGTATTGAATAGTAATTGTAAACCATCTTATCCTCACACATCATCATTATCGTCGAAATTTGCCCACATTGGGCTCCTATTATGAATTATTACTCTCCTTAACGCATCGTTGCTCCCGTTGATGCATTCACTCTGCGAGGCAATGAAAGTGAACTTTTCTTCTTCTTCACATGTCATCGATGCCTACTCACTAGCCACCCTCGTGAACTTCATGTTGGCACCTTCGTGGATACATTCTCCAACAAACATGTAAGAGATGAAGAAATGAGGCTATTTTAAATGAATTTTGAATAAGGTTTGAACGGATGTTCAAACATCGGTTCAAATTAGGTTTGAACGAATAAAGTTTGAACCCTAAATTCAAATCAGTTTCAAAATTTAAATTAATTTAATCCAACTTTGAATGGCTTGAAGTTTATTATATGATCAACAAATGCAATATGTTAACGCTAATTTTGAGATAATTTTATCCGAAATAAATTTTATTTCTTCAAGAAAATGAATAACGGGAATATTTATCCAATTATTTATATGTTTGTAAAACAAAGAATATAATGAGTAATTAGTATGTATTATGTTGTTAATAGACTGTTAGGTTAAAGCGTGTCCTTATATGCTATAAATAAGCCCATTGGAATAATTAAAGGGCATGAAATCAAAATGCAAAACCTTTAAGCTTTAGCATATCTCCCTTCTTCCTCAATACACCCTATAGTTGTCTAAAATCTCTTCTGAATTTCTGATATAACATATCACATTTTCTATGTTTAGGCCATAATAATGTACAATTAGACATATAAAATAAAATTTTCCTTATAAGATATATAATTCTTGCATTTATTTTACCAAAAATGAAAAATCAATCTAAAAAAATTATATAAGCAAGTTTATATATGTATATTTATCATAACAATTACTTATTTATAAATATACCAACTTCGTCCTCATTTTTTTTTCTCTAGAATTTTTTTAATTTTAATTATCTTAATAAATCTCCATAAATTAAATTTAATATGATCTCATTCAAAACTAAAAAAAAAGAAAAGAAATTTGCCATCCAAATGGAACAATTAAACAATTAAATGTTAAGTTATCATGAGAGACTCATCATTCAAGTTAAAAATAAATTTTAAAGAGAAGTTACATATCATCATTCTCAAATTCCAATATATATATATGATACGTCATCACAAAATTAGCTTGATCGGGCACGAATCTCGAGGCAAAAAACTAGTTGAAGACTTCAAAAATTAAATCCGGTTTGAAGCTACTAAGCACCACACAAATGTATAGCACTTCTTTAGTAAATTATTTAATTTCAAACTTGAAAATTAGAATATATATCAGCTCATATTTATAGATATTACAAGACTAATTTTTTTAAAAATTTAATAATAGAAAAAAAGGAGGAAAAGAAGAAGTTGATGGACATTAAATAAAAGTTCCAACAACTCATTTTTTAATGGTTCATCTTTCCCTAATCATTTCATAGTTGATCATACACGTCTTTTCTTCATTATAAAACAAATTTTAAATTATATTTAAAATATTTAAAACTATGAACTTAGGCTCCTACAATTGCGTCTTTTCTTCGATCTTTTTTTGTTCGGTTTTGATCTTAGTTATTGTAATAGTGTTTTTAGCTTAATTATTTTCATTCACATGATATTTTACATTACCAAGCCTTTCTTTTTTTCTTTTTGAAGTTTTTTCACATAAAAATTCTAATGTCTATTACAATTCTTGTACTCATCTTTTTTGTGTTTAGGGTTTAATGTAAAGCTAAGATGTTAAATTCTCTATCTCTCTATCGTTGTAAATATTCAGACCTACAACAGGGTGATTTTATAATAGAACTAATAACATAAAGGATGCTGCGAATTTAAATTATGCATCGAACACAATAAGCTTGTTATATATTGGATCGCACATTCTCGAGAGTGTAGGCAAAGTTGTTGAGGCCTCATGACGGTTTTGGGTTGTCAATCAGTTGTTCTTAATGCATAGTAAACTAATGAATAGGACGAGTAGGTTGTTGTCCTAGAAACATGGAGGTATTCATATTGTTTTTGAGGTTATGTAGGATGGTGTAGGTTTGCTTTGGGAGCACAATCATTTCAAGGCGAAAATGATAAGGTTCAATTGCTGAGGTAACATAGAGATATCAATATTTGACATGACTCAAAATTTTGACTTGAATCAAAATCGAAAATTTCGAGTTCGAATCAACCCTCGTCGCTCGTCCTGCTCGTGCTCACCCAGTCGCAACTCACGCTCGCTCGCTTGTTGGCCCTTCTCGGCTGCCCTTCTCAACTTGATTTTTTTTAGTAGCGAGTCAATTTCGAGTATGACTCAAAACCAACACAAAAATTCATTTTGACACCTCTAAGATAACATAGAAGATATTCATTTAATATATGATTGTTATTTTTTTTTAAGTTAAACCAATTTGAAATAACTTAGGTGATTAGCAACATAGCCAATTTTGACCTAATGATTAATGCTTTGTTTGGGACGTCTTACTTAACGCTTCTTAGAGTAATTTTGTAGTAAAAAATTAAAAACCTGCCTTAAAAAGCACTAAAGAGCTGGACAAACAAAGCTTGAGTATTTTGAGTCAAACTATATGATCTTAGATTCAAGATTTAGCAAATACAAGTGTATAAGTTTGCGATTAAGACTTCATTTGGGACGGCTTTTTTATTGCTTTATAAAGCAGCGTCTAGTACAAAAATTTCTTGAACTATTTAGTTGCTTTTAGGAAAATATTAAGAAAGCCGCCCCAAATAAAGCCTAAATGCCCAAGACATCACGTGCAATCCAATAACAGGGTGCCATTCCTTTAATAAGTGTGTCGCTAGTGTTGGAGAGCTATAACATTTCATGATAAAAAAAAAAGTAAAATTAAAATTAAAATTAAATTCCTTCAAAGCCCAAAAAACATTCTCAAATAATTGTTGCTATCAACTTTCACCTTTGTGTCCAAATAATTTAAAATAATACATCATTTAATTTATTGTAAATTCGCTTAAAAATTATGTTTAGATTAATTTACAAACAAAAATTTCCTTAAGTGATAAACTTAATTGGTAAAATAATAAACAATTATTTATCTATTAAAAAAGTTGAAGTCAAATTTTAATTTACGTTGGGTGGGAGAGGCTCGAACTCTCGACCCCAGGGCCATCAACAAAGCTTTGAGAATTACGCTCTAACCAAGTGCTCCACAAACCCGTGGTGATCGCTTTTGAGAATATTAATTTATATCTAAATTACTTTCAATAGAATCTTTAGTTTATTGTAAATTCGCTTAATAATTTTGTTTAGATTAATTTACGAACAAAAATTTCCTTAAGCGAACTTAATAGGTAAAATCATAAAAAATTATTTATATATTAAAAATATGAAGTCGATATTTTTACCTTAATATATTATTGATACATCACCAAAAAAATATCTTCATCGGGCACCAATCTTGATGCAAAATCAAGTTGGAACTTGGAAACTTTCAAAATTAAAATTGGGACCATCTGAATTCCGATTTCAACAAACTTACAGTCGAACTAAATGACTCAGAAATACGAACCCAACGACACCAAATGCGACTCAATCCAAGCCCAAATGAGTCCAAATCGTTGTTGGAAGGTTCAAACCACAATTTGGGTTACCAAATAGTTTTCAAACTTGACGTTCTTATAGTCGAATCAAGCGGCTTGAAAAGATGAATCTAACGAGCCCAAGATCACTGA